CACAGTTGCCTTCTGGTTAGGAGGCTCCTTTATGCCTCTCGGCTCCTTTCCTTGTCTTCTCACAGCTGATAGCTCATTTCTCACCAGCAGATATGAGTCTGCTGTCTGGACTGGCTACGTATCTACCCATCTGCTTCCTGAAGGATGTGTGGGTGTCTTCGGTATAAAGAAACATTGGCATGCAGGTCTTTATGCCGGTGCACATTTCCAGCTCATGTGGTGGGTGCCTGAGACTGTGGCTGCTGATCTCGCCTCCGCGGGAACTATGGGAGTGGCTACTGAAAGTCTAATGCACAGACAGGTTAAGTAACTTACCCAAGGTCACACAGATGGCTAGTGGCCATTGTCCAGTCATAACCATAAGATGTCACAGCTTCTGGAGCTGCAGACCCTGCCACAGGAACAGTCATCTGATAGAACTTCTGTGGCCTCTGGCACTCCACACTTGTTCCTAAATGGTGTGTGTAGCTAGAGTTTTCCTACCTGGCCCACAGTCAGGGTAAATCTCTCTCACCCGCCAGTCCCAAGCCGCTCAAACCCGATCAAGTAAACACAGAGACTTATATTGGTTTCAAACTGTATGGCTGTGGCAGGCTTCTTGCTAACTGTTCTTACAGCTTAAATTAATCCATTTCTATTAATCTATACCTTGCCACGTGGCTTGTGGCTTACCGGTACTTTACATCTTCCTTATCCTGATGGCGGCTGGTAGTGTCTCTCTCACCCAGTTTCCTGTTCTCTCAATTCTCCTCTCTGTTAGTCCCGCCTATACTTCCTGCCTGGCCACTGGCCAATCAGTAATTTATTTATTGACCAATCAGCAACACATTTGACATACAGACCATCCCACAGCAGGTGTGTGCCTGTATTATGCACCTTCCAACATCAAAGGCGTGCTTGCCCCTGCTGATCGACTGCTAACGCTTGTCACAGGAGGGGAAAATCAGCAGGACATGGCTTGAATTTGAACTCACCACCCAAGTCTGTGGCTTGTGAACAGAGCTCTGGTCTGGTCTTCCGTGTGGCTTGGAGCATTTGTCCTCTCTGAGGGGCTTTTAGGAGCTGAGTGGGGGCATTTGCCAGACTTCTCTAAGCATGGATATCTCTCCTCTAAAAAAAAAAAAATACAACAACAACTCCAAAAACAATACCAATTTTTGTGTTGCATGCCAATTGTCTGTGTTCTGCCATTTCCTTAAGGACACAAATGTCCAATTTGCACTGGCTGACCCCCAGTCTCCACACAGTCTTCCCAGGACAGGGGTCTTAAGGACAGGCTAAAGGGTGGGGGCCCAGGCTGTGTCTTCAGGGGGCTCTGCATGATGCCCAGCCCTGGAAAGGCACATCTTGTTTCTTTTGGAAAGGGCCAATGAGTCAAAGGTCATGGCATGAAGCTGGGCCAGCACTCATTATCTGGAAGGTTCTAAGCAAGGCTTAGAGCTCAGCTCCCTTCCTGTCTGGAAGCTTTCTGAGCGGGGTGTGGCTAGAACCGGACTTCTTGTGGCAGCATCCCTGGCAGGAAGCAGGCCTTGGACTCAGTGAACGGGCTGAGGCTAACTCGCCTGCCCGGAAAGTGCACGGGACCAGACTAAACCACACAGCATCGTCCAAACGTTAGCTAAGGGAAATTGTTCACATCAGTGTTAACTCCACTATTCGTCTCATTTTAATTTACAGTTCATCTTACTGCCACTGAAAGCCACGAGTGTTCCAGAAGTAGGAACCTGTGTGTTTGTGACAGACACAGGCTTCCCATCCTTCCCTTGTCTGTCTGTGTCAAGACAGAGGGAAGCCATTACAATGACCAGGAAACAGAGCCATGAGAGAAAGCCACAGTCACCAGCCCCGTCTCTCTCTCCCTGGGATGGCCGACTGGAGCCAGAGCTCTCTGCTCTGTGAACAGCCCTTCCATTTAATCTGGCCTGTCTGGGAGAGGCTGGGCATCAGTTCTGCCGCAGCCAGCCTTGACAGACAGGGCCACTGGTCACAGAGCCAAGGGCTGGAGGGCTGGAGCCTAGACGATGCCCTTTGGCCTGTTTCCAGCCATTCCTGGAGATTCAGGAAAACAAGTCATTAGTCTGGAGGACTTTAATGATCAAATGAGAGCCAGGAGAAGCGAGGTCATAAGTTTGGAAGCACCAGGGTCAGTGTCCGGGAAGACAGTGAAATGACTGCAAACCTTGTCTTGTCCTAAGGGGGACATGGCTGCCACCTTGTCCCCAGATAGTGGTGTCTAGCACTAGGGCAATGGTGGGGTAGAGTGTGTAGCTTGGAAGGTTACTAGCCGCCTTCCTCATTCTCATCTCCAGCCATAATTTTATTATCTGTTTGAGTTGGAAGCATCTTCCAGATCATGCCTCATTTATCGACAGGGAGACAGAGAAAGCTTGTCCAGAGCAGTGGCCCGTCTCCTCCCATCTCTCCTTAGAATCCCCTCCTCCTCCTTCTTCTTCTTTCTCCCCCCGCCCCAACACTCTGTTTTAAGGCTTATAGCACATTCCAAGAAAAGAAAATCTAGGACACTGAAAAAAATTACCTATGCTGTTTATTCATTCTTGCCTGGAGAAGCCATTCACTGTAATGACCCTTCCAAATTAATCAGACCTGTAAATACTCAACTGTGGGCTGCCTGCGGAGAGGCACCTTCCAGTCACTGGTGGCAGCTGCTAGCGGGTTCTACCTGGAGTCCTGCGTTTCAGGGCTGCTCAGCACAGCCTTCAGACCTGCTTCATGCCAGGCATCCCCTCTAAAGGAGGCAGAGGAGCCCAGGAGCTCTTGGAACGGGACGTGTGGTCCTGAGGCAGGCACAGGTCCTTGTCCTTCGTTCAGGGCTTCACTGAGAGGGGCACCACTCAGACTAGAGTGTAAAGCAAGACTACTGCAGTCAGTGCAGGCTACAGCAAAGAGCAACACTGGAGGGGTCTGGAATCTGGAAGACTCCTGAGGGATGTGGGATTTGATGTGAGCCCAGAAGAATGGGCCGAGGCACAGAGGGCAGGCAAAGGGGAAATGCACTGGAACCCTGTCCTTAGGGAAGTGGTTCTCAACCTTCTTAATGCTGCAACCCTTTGGTCTTAGGTGACCCCTGTGAAAAGGTCATTTCACTCCCAAAGGGTCATGACCCACAGGTTGAGAACCACTCCCTCAGAGGGCCGCAGATGCTGTATGCAGATGCCCAGAAGGACTCTGCCTCTCAGCATGTTGGCCCTGTGTGCAACCTCATGGCACAGGCCTGTGCCTGTCAGCTGCCCTGAGCAGTATGGCCACCACTACCCTGTTCAAGCTTGAGAGTGACATGGGCCACTCTGATTTCCAAGATGAAGATTGACTCAAGCCCTGAAGAACCTCATGAGCTTTGCATCAGTGTTACAGATGGATTTTCCAAAATTGAAACAGAATGTGTGTGTGTGTGTGTGTGTGTGTGTGTGTGTGTGTGTGTGTGTAGTATTTACCATTTTAGCCACTTTTGAGTGTGCAGTTCAATGGCATTAAGTTTGTCACATTGCTGTGTATTCATCCCCATCAGAGCTCCCTCCCCTTCCCTACCTGGGACTCTGTGCTCATACCCCCCCCCCAGCTCCGCCACTCCTGCCAACCCCCTCTCCTCCCCCCCCCACCGTACTTTTTGTCTCAACAAATGGACTTGTCAAGTAAGGGGAATTATGCAGAAATGGTCTTTCTGTGACTGGCCTCGAGGTTTTTCCATAGTATAGATGTATCAGAATTTCTTTCTTTTTGAGGGGTGAATGATATTCTCCATATGATTATACCTTCCACATTTTATTATTCACTCAGTGAATGTGACTTGGGTTGCCTCTATCTTTGGCTATTGGGAATGAGTCTGTTTTGAACATGGCGCACAAATCTGAGTGCCTTGTCCCTTCAGGCATTCAAATGATCAACCTGAGCTACGGCTGTGACTCCGAAGGGCCTTCTCTTCTCATCCTGAAATACATCAGTTATGTGGCAATTGTCTCCTTCTGTGCTTTACCAAGTTCTTCCTTTACCTTCTGAAATGTATTTAAGTGTGACATGGTCTAGTCCCAGCACCTCAGAGGCAGGGGCAGGAAGTGTACCCAGGAGTTTGAGACCAGCCTGATCTGCGTAGTGAGTTCCAGGCTAAACAGGGCTACAGAGTGAGACTCTGTCTCAAAAAAAAAACCAAGAGAGAGAGAAGGTGTTTAGCCATGTTTGAAAAATCCAAGAAAATTCACTTTCAAGCTTCTTTTCCTCTGAAATCTTCCCTCCCCTGTCCCCCCAAAAATTGGGGTACAAGTCAGCAGAACCAGAGGGCACCCCGTCTTGAGGCATCCCTACCTCCTCGCATTAATTGCCCAAACTTACATTACAGCGGTGACATGCTCGGGCACAAGGCAGGAGAATTCACAGTTCAGGTTAGCGTTGTCATTAACTCAAGTCTTTGGTGTCAACTCCCTCCCACAGCGGAGCGTCCCTGCGTGGCCTCGCAGTCAACCTCCCCGATGCATTTTCTGGCCTTTGTTGGTTTGTGTCAGCTCTTGAACATTATTTAAATGTAGTTTGGGGTCCATGAATGCAATTACCATTGTGTTATTATTCAGAGGCAGATTGTTAAGATGCAGGCAGCTGTACAAGGAGATGCCCTGTGCTGTGAGGTCCAATTTAGGAGGGCCTTCTGAGCCCGCGCGCACCGTTGCTAGGCAACCCCATGCTACAGAAGTGGAGGCCTCGCTGGCTCCGGAGTGGGAAGAAGCCCAGTGCCTTCAGGGAATTGGAGGCAGTGGTCAATCGGAGACTGGCAGGGCGCCGGGAGCGGGAGGAGGCGGCGTGGGCAGAGCCTACAGGCCTGCAAGAGTGGGGGCGCCCACCCAACAGAACATGGTGTTCCCAGGGAGGGGAGGGGAGTGCTGCAGGAAGGAACGTGTGGAGAAGGTGTGGAGCCCGAAGCCAGCCAGGAAAGCTTGAAGGATACCCAGAGCAGATGCTAATGTGCTTCTCCCTGCCTGTCCCTCTCTTTGCAGGAAATGAGCTGGTTTGCAGAAAAACCGGTGGCCTGAGATTGAAGCCTAAGGAGTCGGTGCCTGTGAGTATGAATTTTGCTTGTTGAGTTTTGTGGTTTTTGACAATGTTTCTGGGAATTGGGCAGTTCCCCTGTTAAGGGTAGGAACTGTGTGACCTGGGTGGAATTGACTTTGGATTCTTCTGGAAGGTCCCTCTTACTGGGCAGGGCTGGTCCCACTCACGTAAGGCATCAAGTTGAAAGAGGATGCCCTGAACCCTGCTCTGCCCTCTAAGTAGAGAACACCCCTGGGGGCTCCCCAGACAGAACTCCGTGACTGTGGACCTGTGAGTGGGCAGTGAGAGACTACCCCGCCACACCGAGAGACTGGGTCTGCCCTGTTCTAAGTTTGCTGTTAGGGTGTCCCTGTTGGAACAGTTCTTTCACACACCACAGAACAGTGTGCTCAACCCAGAGCAGTGAGTCAAACTAATCCTGTCATCAGTGTGGGAAGAGATGCGTGAGACAAAGAACCTTCTAGAAGGGCACATGGATCTGCTCTGGCTCCCATGGCACAGAAAGAGACTCCAGTGATGGGGAGTGGTCAGGGAGAACCCTCTGGGGAACGACAGACTTGATCTGGGCTGTAGGGGAGGGAGGGAGGCAGAGCAGAGGCCTCACCAGGGAACACACTGAGGCCTTTGTGAAGGGCAGCACAGGCAAGGGGTCTGATGAGTGGAGGAGAGGTTGCTGAGGCTGGGCAAGGTGCTGAGGGCCCAGAACGGCTCAGCCGTGAAGGGTCTAGATTTGAAGAACCAGCATGCAGTAAAGTATCCCTCACCTGTGTAAATAAAAGTAAATTTCGCCCAGTTTGTCTGCTGTTCCATTATGTGCAGATAACTGTGTGGATTTTTTTTTTAACCAAACTTGAGACTGACCTGGAGATCAGCACATATTAACACTGGGTAGATACAGGAAACCGGTGTTTGAGATCTCCCCTAGGCCTTAGAACGTGTCTCTCCAATACACACAGAGCCATCGGTAGACAGCCATAACTGAGGGCCGCTCTCACCCATGAAGCCAGCCCTGGGGACACACTAAGCTTTAAGTGGACCGTCACCAAGACCGCGCTTGTTCTCCTGGAGAGCCACTGGCGCCCAGGCTGAGGGACAACTGAAATCTCTGTCTCTGAGAAATGCAAGCCAGCGGGAGGGGCCAATCAAAGTAGTATTTACAGAGCATTAGCTGCTTACACACATTTCGCAGTCTTGCCTCTCAAGAGCGCCACAGAGATTCCAGGTATTCCTGTGGTAAAGCTAGAAACACTGAGGCTGTGCAGGTTCACTGGGCTGATATGTGGCGCTTCTGAAACACTCACCCCAACCTTCTGCTGCAGGACACTGGATCTCTCTAATTAAGGTCCAGCTGGGGCTGCCCGTACCCCCATTGGAGAAGCAGAGTAATGATGGTCGCATGGTCCCCAGGTCCTGTTGTCTGGATTATCTTCTTTCTAAGGCCAGTGTATTGTGTCTCTGGCTTTCAAAGGCAATACACCACCCCAGTGGTCTCTGATAGGAAGGACAGTGGTTATTCTGCTGTCCCCAAAGCAGAAGGCCATGTGCACATCTAACACTAGGGGCCAGTCTATTAACATGAGAGGGCTCCGCAGTCAGCTATTGGTGAACAACCTGTTAGAGTTTCCTGGGAGTGGAGCCTGAGATGGTATGAGGCCCAATGGGACACATTAATAGAGAACACTTGCCAGGGAGACAGGGCGGCAAGGGTGAGAGCCAGGCTCCCATCAAGGATATATGCTAGGATGAGTCTCCTCGGTTCCATATACAGTACTGTGGTGATGTATGGGTTGGAGACAAGGCTCGGGATATATATGCCCCATTACTTCTCAGCCGTTTAACAGAGTGTGACTACTGACATCACCTGAGTAAAGAGCCAGGAGTCCAGCGACTGTCCCAGGCAAAGCCTCATGCTATACACTCAGCAGCTGGGTAGGCACGTGCTGGTAGGTAAAGAGGACCTGGGCCTGGCGCCCGTGGCATTTGCTTCCATGCCTAATTAGCATCTCTGTTGTAAAGACAGCCACGTGTCACAGACACTTGACGACCTGGCAGTCATCTTGACTACCACTCCCTTTGTGTTTTAGAAGCATGCGCTGGAGATGATGTGAGATAGTGATACTGAAGAAGCGGCCTCTAATAGTGATATCTGTCTGGACTGAAAATGTGCGCTTTTATTAACTGAAGTCTTATTCTTGATTGGTGATAGTCTCGTGGTTCTTAATTGGAAAGTGCCAGAAAGTCTCCAGTAAACAGCCCCTTCCCAATCCCTAGCCCCCAGCCTCCATTCTCCTAGAGACACCCAATGTTACTACAGCTGTGTATTGCTTTTCACATCGACAACAGCATGATTTAGATGCCCGAGTCTGGTTACTATAGCGCCATATTGAACGAGACCACCTTCTTGTGACTTGAACTCAGCTGTCTTTGGAGAGGAAACTGCTCTCTCTGGGGGATGGCTCAAATGCATACATGCTTTGTAGATGTTCCAAACTCCTTAGAATTTTTTCTGTGATAAGTGAGATGACAAGTGATAAGTGGTATGACAGTCACTCCCTAGTTGCAATAATTGTTGAAAGCCAATCACACAGTTTGAGAATGCTGTGCTAGAGCTCTTGGAATTCCCGAGCCTTTAAAATAATGTATTATGTCTCTAAACTCGTTATTTGGTGCAAATCACTGAGGCATTGCTGCACATGTTACCTGCTGTCATTTGCGTCTTGCTTAATGGCTTCCTGATGTTCCCAGAGTGCACAGGGATGAACCGCATGGTCAGCACCTTGTGATTTCCTTGGGTGAGGTGATTTGAGCTTAGTTTGGAGGCACAGTTGGTCAGGGATGGGGTGGACTCCTTCACTTTCCTGTGGTAGGAAGCTCTAACATGGTATTGAGGCCATCTGTCAGCAAAATGGCCCAGATCTCCACCGTGTGATGGACAGATATGAAAAACCTGTACAGCCCTGTCACAGCTGGACTGGTTCGTGTGTCCTTAGTCCTACACCACTGGATCCCAGGCTCCTTGCTCACACTACACACCCATCTTCTGAATTAGGTCTGATGGGTTTGGGATAATGCTTATGAAAACCCTTATAGCAGTTACTTGTGTTCTTCATGATCCAGCCTGTGTGTTTCTCCCTTGCAGCCAAATTCCCTGCTCTCAGTTCACTCCCCCACCCCCAGGATATTCTCTAAATTACAAGAAATCTTCTAACTTGAGCATGGCCTGTTCTAGTCCCAAGAGGGATTTTGGTGGCACCCCCTTGAAGACTTGAAAAAAAAATCTCATTTCCGTTCAAGAAATTGAATCATTATCTAGATTGAAATAATATCTTTCCTCAACCTGCAACAAGATAAAGGATCGAATTGGTGGAGTTTCCTTATCACTGCAGTTTGCAGGACACAGAATAATGGCCTGTCACTGCCTCTGGCGGGTGGGTTCTGTAATACAGCGCCCATGGTGGCTCCTGACCTGCTTTGCATGGCTCAGTGTCCATGGCAATGTAACACAGTGTGGTTAATGACAAGTGCCATGATATGAAAAGGAGTAGTGTGGGGCCTAGAACAGCCCGAGCAATGTTCTACCCTACAGTAGCTGTACCCCCCGCAGAGAGCACTCGGGAATGGGGGAGCCAGAAAAAAAAAGGGTGGACATTCTTACTCTTCCAGAGTGTGGGTGTGCCAAAGCCCTTGGCTAAGCTTCAAGAGCTGCAGTTGGAGTGAAGAGGTGACAGCTTGAGAAGGTGGACTAGACCGAGCTTACGCTGGTTGACAGACCAGCTGTAGACGGACATCCCTCGGAGACAGCCGAAAGATAGTCAGGCTTCCGGTCTCGTTCACCGCTGTTATGGGTCAGCTCTGATCTCTTGCACTTCAGGCTCCTCCTTTTTCAGAGGAGGGCGGCACCAAGGAGGGCAACAGGAGAAAGGGGTGAAGTAATGTTTACACTTAGTCCATGCTCCTGGCTGTTCCCCTCCGCTCTTCCTGCTCCGCTAGCTGAAGAGACTTTGCCAATCCCAGGGCTAGTCCTGCAGGTGTAAAAACGTGGATGCAAGCAAGGATGCTTTTCTCACGCTGCTCAGCCCCATGCACTCCTGCATCCAAAATAAGTTTCTAGCCAGGTGGTGGTGCACACACCTTTAATCTCAGCACTCAGGAGGCAGAAGCAGGTGGATCTCTGTGAGTTCAAGGCCAGCCTGGTCTACAAAGTGAGTTCCAGGACAGCTAGGGCTACACAGACAAACCTTGTCTCAAAAAAACAAACAAACAAAAATTTTAAAGAAAGAAAAAAGTTTCCTTAGCATCAGTGAATAAGGCCAGACTTTCTTGTCCCCTTGGCCCCATGGCCTGGCCTCCCCGCCCTCCCTATAACACTATAGAAGTGACTAAAGAATACCAGTGTCTGACTATGGAGGGCTTCCTATGCACCAGCACTGCTCTAATGGGTTTGCAGACTTGATCCATGCAACCATGTACTTTAGAAGTGTTTAGCATCCGCCTTTAATGTCAGAGGCACAGAAAGGCTAATTAACTTTTCCCGAGAGTCGCTAAGTGGTAGAACAGGATCTGAATGAAGCCGAGTCATCTGCTTGAAACCTTTTCAAACTCAAACTATCAGGACTAAACAATGTGAAACCACCTGGGCTCTCATCAGACCCTACACCATAATCCTATCGCAGAGAACAACAATAACAACAGTCACGTGTTTGTGATGTCCCAGGAGGCCACAGCGGCGGGAGGTTGGAATGGTGGTCTAGTCAAGGTGTCTACCCATGGGTGCGGGTAGCTGAGGTATAGCCTTTAGATTGTGCCTTCTGAGGCTCTTCTCAGCTGTGTGTCAAGTGGTTGGCCAACCACTAGCCTGCCCACCCTCTGACCCAACCCCCATCTTCCTGCAGATACCACCCCTCAAGTCCCTTGTGGCTGTGCTACCTAGCTGCCTGGGTCTCCTGGGAAAGGACACCATCCTCCAGCCTCACCCCGTGTCCCTTCCTTCCCCTTCCTCCCCAGCCA